ACTATAAAACACTGTAACTAAGATACTATATTAGTAATCTTGAGCTAATAAAAAATATATGATACAATAAACTATAAAACACTGTAACTAAGATATTAGTAATCTTGTTACAGCCAATTTTTTTATGTTTATAAATGAATCTGTAGGCCTGTGTTCAAATAAGGAAAATCTTGGACTTTCATATTATAAAGTAACCAATTTTTAGAATGAATTCAAAGGTACAGCCTGTGACAGAAGACGCCCTACTCTTTCTTCTCTGTAAGTTACCAACAGGGTACATTTTTAGAATCTTAAACGTGCAAAATTAACTGCAACTTTATAGATTCCATATCAGAGGTAATCCTTTCAATGTATGGTGATACCACCTATGGACCCAAAGGGGTGTGACACACAAACAGAGGGGAAAATGCACTAGAAATACAGTAAGTATAAGCCACAATCATCCTAGCAGATGGTATGTCCAAAAAGGTTTTCAGGGCTCATAACGAAATCAGCATGTTTCCTCAAATCACAGAATTCAGAAACACAGACCACCTAAGTGGAAAAAAAAGGGAGGGGGAAAATTAGAGGTCAAAGACCTCGGGAAGGGGTGTAGGCATTAAGTTCTCCTTACATACATGCAGAAGGAGGATCTACAATGATATTTCTTTTTTTTTTTCTTTTTTTTTTTTTGAGACAGAGTCTCACTCTGTTGCCCGGGCTATATTGCCATGGCATCATCCTAGCTCACAGCAACCTCAAACTCCTGGGCTCAAGTGATCCTACTGTCTCAGCCTCCTGAGTAGCTGGGACTACAGGCATGCGCCACCATGCCCGGCTAATTTTTTTCACATATTTTTAGCTGTCCAATTAATTTCTATTTTTTTTTTTGGTAGAGACGGGGTCTTGCTCTTGCTCAGGCTGGTCTTGAACTCCTGAGCTCAAACAATCCACACACCTCGGCCTCCCAGAGTGCTAGGATTACAGGCGTGAGCCACCGCGCCCGGCCTACAATGATATTTGAAAGAAAGTTTAATTTGAAGGCAGAGCAGAGCTTCAACCACAAGTCTCTCAACTATTGGGTTGGCACTCAGAGTACTGTATCTTCCTTAATGACTCACCAGCTGACTCTCATTGACTGAAGGCATAATCAGGGCTCCTCCTCCAACAAATGAGAATACTTTTGACTACACTCCTTTTCAGAGGTGTATTCAGAATCAAAACAAAACAAAACAAGAGCTTTCAACTTTATGTAACTTGCTAAAAAAACGGCACTGTGGATGTGTGAGCTGTTAGCGAATGGGAATCCGGGGGCTGGTTTTGGGCGGGAAGCGTCGGCCACACAGGACAGAGTGGGTTCGAGGACCCTCCTTCTGACCCCGATGGCAGCGCCAAGCTCCTGGGGGTAAGTGCGCGCTTCCCTTCGGAGGCTGGCAGCCTCGCCCCCAACCACAGCCCTTGAGAAAGTCCTCAACTGCCTATCAGAAAACGTTTGGCCTCGCTACGGCACTCTAGCCCGGGCAACACAGTGAGACTCTGTCTCAAAAAAAAAAAAACAAAAAACGTTTAGCCTGAGACGTCCATTGGCTGCGCCATCCCTTACAGAATCAGCAAGAGTTAGAAGCCAGGAAAGGGAGAAGAAAAGCAAAAGAGCCAGGCAGTGCCCAGAGCGGCGGAGGCGGGGCGGGGGTAAGGCAGCTGCGGCCACGCTGGCTGCGGCGTGGAGGAAAGAGAGGAAGGGACCCGCGAGCGAGACGGAAAACGCTGCAAAACCGCTGCGGTTGGACGACCGGGGCGGGCGGACCCGCGGGGAACTAAGCCTCCTGAGGTGAGGGCGCCTCGCCCGCCGCACCGGCTGGCCTGCAGGACGCCGCGCCGCCGCCCAGGATTGGCCCGCTCCCGCCTCCCCACCCGCCCAGCTAGGGCCCGGGGTACGCTCAGGCGCCGTCGCCGCTCGCACACTCACCGCGCGCGCGCCGCCCCGGCGCGGCCGCCCGCCGCCCTCGGCGCGACCTCCGCCCCGCCCCCCGCGCCCCGTCTGGCGCGGCGGCGCCTGGGCTACGTCACGGGCGCGTGCGCTGTGCGCGCGCCGGCAACCGTCTGGCGGGACGTTATCCGCTTGGCGTGCAGGTTTCCTTAGAGACCGAACCGGCCCGGGCGGCGGCGGCCGGGCAGCCACCACAGCCGTGAGCCTGGAGAGGCCAAGATGCCGTCGAAGGGAAAAGACAAAAAGAAAAGCAAGAGCAAAAACAAGTAAGAAGAAGCCGCCCCGGGGCCCCCTCTCCCTGGACCTGCCCTCCAGGGATTCCGAGTTTGCGGGCTGCCTAAGTGGAGCCTTCCCTGCTGGTCAGCTTGGGCCCCTCTCGCTCTCCCTGCTTGTGAGGATTATAGCTCCCATTGCTCATTCTTGCTTGCCCCTAGCCTGACAGATCTCTACTATGTGATTGAGATGGTCTTGAACATCTAGAGGATGTCTGGGTGATTAAGTAGTTCCTTGTGCATTTCTAGAGTTCCCTTTTGGTTCAAAGGGGAAAACCTAAAGGATTTGACTAAATTGGGTAATTGTTGAGGTTTCCCCAAACTAATTGAACCAGCGAGGTGGGTAATGCTCTAGCACTAACCTCTTGCAGACCTGGAGTTGCTGCTAGATCGCCACTAGACCCATTGAGTGACCCCAGTGGTTTCTGGACATACTGGAGTCATACATGGTGTCCAGCAACACCGCATATGGGACCACAAGGGTGTCCCCAAATTTGTGATGTTTGTAAAGTAACTTAAGAGAGTCATTCTTGTTAAATACAGAAAGTTTGGGAAACATGGGAAGTACCAAAGGAGAAAACAAATCACCTGTAATCCCATCATTCAAAGATAACCACTACAATCATTTTGGGATATTCTTTTTTTTCTTTATAAAATAATAGCCCAATGTACATACTTAGATGTAGCTCTTTTTCTTCCCATGTCTTAATATTTACTGAAAGGGTGAACAAATGACCCAAAGGACACATTGCACACACAGGCTTTGTGGGAGCAACATGGCTGGTTTATTCACCCGGGTGTGGGTGGGCTGAGTCCGAAAAGAGAGTCAGCACAGAAGGGGGTTAAGTGAGGGGTTTTATAAACCGTGGTAGCCGACCCCCTCCCACCAGACCTGTTTGGTTCTTTGTTTCTGGGCCAAACTGGCAGGTGAAGAATTGCTTCTTGCTACATGCAGCAGAGGACAGTGGCCAGAACAGCTGTTTGCAGTAAATTCTTCTTTAAACAACCAACTCCTACAACCTGTTTGCCCTAGTTGCACCCTTCCTTCTGTTCTGGCGTCATCCTTATCAGGAGAGCTGGGGAGGGATAGCCTTGGTCTCCATCATGGAGGGAGGAGGAAGGAATGCTGGCTGCAGCCATCTGCCATATCTACAAAATCCAGGGACTTCTCAGACTCCTGCGGCTATTGTTTTACAAGCCTAAGTTTTGCATTAACCATATTCTGTCCTATACATACTTTTCAGGTTCCCACTTGGAATAATTTACAATGCAATTTTTTTTTTAACATAACTGCATAGTTATGCCTAGCACTTTTTAAAGTGCTATGCATTCCTGGAACTCACTAGCATATGTTTTTTCTGTTTTTTTTTTTTTTGAGACAGAGTCTCACTCTGTTGCCCAGGCTAGAGTGCCGTGGCGTCAGCCTAGCTCACAGCAACCTCAACCTCCTGGGCTCAAGCAATCCTTCTGCCTCAGCCTTCCGAGTAGCTGGGACTACAGGCATGCGCCCCCACGCCCGGCTAATTTTTTCTATATATTTTTAGCTGTCCGTTTAATTTCTTTCTATTTTTAGTAGAGACGGGGTCTCGCTCTTGCTCAGGCTGGTCTCGAACTCCTAAGCTCAAATGATCTGCCCGCCTCGGCCTCCCAGAGTGCTAGGATTACAGGTGTGAGCCACCATGCCCGGCCAGCATATATTTTCTATTTTTGCTCGTGCATTGTCAGGACACGTGTGAACAGTGAGAACACTGAGGGTAACCGATCTTATTCCTTGGATTTTCTGTGACCCATTGTTTCAGAAACCTGACTTTGTTTCTACAGTCAGTATTAGTGGTCCTTCTAATTTCTTGCATTAGAAATTAGAAGTGTCTAATTTCTTGCATCAAATACTCTGAGCCACTTAGACCTGATACCTTCAGGGAGCAATTGGATGATTGTAGCAAGGCAGTCCATCACTAGTGCCTAAAGTGTGCTGAAAAGGGAGATCAACAGCTGTCACAGGCTAGGGGATTGGCTATGGAGCTGGCCTTAATTTGAAGAGAGCGAAAGGTGAAAGTGGGAGTGGAAAGGGACTGAGAACCAGGAGTTGAGGGGTAGATATGGAAGATGACAGTATAGAAAGGTCAACACATATATATGTGTGAGAATATTTAGAATTCAAATACAGGTGAAGTCTTCGTATATGTTCTCTATATGTATATATTAGTGCCTCCCACATACAAGGGATAGTGTTTTATTAATGCTCATATGGTAAATCTTTATTTTGAAAAATCTCATCACTTTATCTTTGAATTCATCCTTTTTAAAAAAAATTTCTTGTCCACCTCTATATAAATGATTATGGTTTGTTTCTTAGGCATCCAGTGCACTGTGGCACCAGCTGATAAAGTATTTAATATACTTGTCCTAGTGACTATTGACTTGATCTTTTGTCCAAGAGCTGGCTAAAACAAAGACAAAAACACCCCATAACAAAACCGGAGGGTGGAGTGGGTGGGAGATTACAGGTGCACTATGGCTGTATATCCTCATGCAGAAGGGGAACAAAGGTAATGGGTTTGCAGTAGAAAGAACCAAGGTCCAGCACTCAGTAAGTAGGAATAGAAAAGAGAGTTTAAATATGGGAAGATCAAAGAAATAAATGAAAAGATGTGAAGGCTTTATGAAATGAATTTGACTTAGCATGGCTTTTGTCTTTGTTTTTCCAGTCCTTTAGAGTTATGCTCCAATGCTCCCCTCTTCCAAGAGGAGGCACCTACTTGACTCTCTTATGTGAATACAAGTAAATATGTATTTCTTATTAATTCATTCATCCAACAATATTTTCTTGTTTTTACCAGGCAATGCCCAGCAAAACAAGTTTTAAAAAAGAGAAATGTAGTACTAATACAGTAGAGTTATGTACTGTCAATGTCCCCTTCTCATGCAGGAATATACCAGTAATAAAACCAGATGAATCTGTGGTGGACAGAGCCAAGGCCAATGCTTCCCTTTGGGAAGCCAGATTGGAAGTCACAGAACTGTCTAGGATTGAATATCGTGATACTTCCCGGAGACTGGCAAAAAGTAATGAGGAGCTGAAGAGACAGCAGTATAAAATGGAGAAAGATACAATGTCTGTATTAAGCTACCTGAAGAAGCAGGATCAGGAGAAAGATAATATGGTAGGTAGGTAGAAAAGCCTCATGAGCCTCACAAACTGCCTCTGTGGTTATACTGGCATGGTTATATAGTCCAAGGATTTTAATTCCTTGAAGTGTCATTGCATAGTGAAGACATTTCAGTTGACTTACCTCTCCTTGAAGCAAGATGCTTTTTTTTTTCTTTTTTGAGACAGGGTCTCAGTCACGCAGGCTAGAGTGCAGTAGTGTGATTGATCATAGCTCACTGCAGCCTCCCACTCCTGGGCTCAAGCTATCCTCCTGCGTCAGCCTCCAAAAGTGCTAGGATTACAGGTGTGAGCCACTGCGCTCAGTCCAAGATGCTATTTTGTAATGGCTTTATTATTATTGGCTCTTTCTTTTTTTTTTTTTTTTTTTGGAGACAGAGTCTCACTGTGTTGCCTGGGCTAGAGTGCCATGGCGTCATCCTAGCTCACAGCAACCTCAAACTCCTGGGCTCAGGCGATCCTCCTGCCTCAGCCTCCCGAGTAGCTGGGACTAAATTTTTTCTATATATTTTTAGTTGTCCGATTAATTTCTTTCTAGTTTTAGTAGAGACGGGGTCTCGCTCTTGCTCAGGCTAGTTTCGAACTCCTGAGCTCAAACAATCCGCCCGCCTTGGCCTCCCAGAGTGGTAGGATTACAGGCGTGAGCCACCGCGCCCGGCCGGCTCTTTCTTATTTTCAGTCCTTGTTCCTTGTTTTCTTGTCCAAAATAGAGATTGATGATTATGCGGAACATTATGATCCACTTTATTTTAAGGACAAGAGCATGTTATGTGACCTATGTATTTTTATATATTTCATATCTCATTTAATCCTTTTAATAACCCAGTGTAGCTACGATATTGTTACAACCATTTTATAGATGAAGAAATTGACCCTCAGAAAGGACGGGTAACTTGCCCAAAGTCACACAGCTGGTGAATGTTAAAAGTGGAATTCAGGTGTAACTAAATTCTTCCCTTTCCTATTTGCTTCTGTAAGCCCCACAGAGACCCAAGGAAATTTATACCATGCTGAGGATGGTGTGCTTCCTTTCTATGTACGTTTTTGTACTTTTGTTTCCATCAGCAACACATACTGTAGTCTTGTTTTAAAATGCACCTAAATGGTATCATATTGTACATATCTTTTGTAACTTTTTTCACTCAACATTTTGTTTTTGTGATTTTTCAGAAAAAAATCACACAATGATTCAGTTCATTCATGTTCTTAAAATTTATAACAAGCATGGTCTATGTTTTCATTCCTTCTTAACTGCTTTATAATATTGTATTAAGTAAATAAACCAAAATTTATTTATCCTTACCTGCCACTCCCACCCACTTTGGTCAGTTGGACTCCATTCTTTCGTTATTACAAATAGACCTTCAGTGAACATTTCTGTGTATGTCTGTGCTCACATGTGAGAGCTTTTCTAGAGTAGACACCTATTAGTGAAATTACTAGTAGTACGTTATGGGGTATACATGGCTTCAACTTCACAAGGGTTTAAATTGAGCTCCAAAGGAGTTATATCAATTGATTCTGTCATAAGCATTGTATTAGAGTGAGTTCCTGTTTACCTACATTTTCGTCAGCACTTGACATTATTATATTACTTAATAGTTTTTGCCAGTTTTATGGATATAAATTATCTCATTGTTTTAATTATATATTTTCCTGACTACTAGTTGCTTAAACATCTTTTATAGGTTCCTTCATCCATTTTTTATTGTTCACGTGTTTGCTTCAGTACACATGAACTAATATTGGAGTGATGCAGAGGATGGCTCCTACATAAGGATGACATGCAAATTCATGAATCATTGCATATTTTTTTCAAATGCCACCTTCTCAGCAAGACCTTCCACATGACCCTGTTTAAATATTAAAACCACTGCCACTTCAGCGCTATATAACCTCCACCCCTGTTTTATTTATGCATGTTACTTACATATTTGTTTATTCCTTTCCCTAATTAGAATGAAATGTCACAGAAGTAAAGAATTTGGGGCCTTTTTTTGGTTCAATGCTGTATCCCTAGCACTTAGCACAGGGTCTGGCATGTAGTAGGCATGCATTAAAACTTTTTTGCATGCATGAATGAATAGCTTGTGTACTGATACTTTGGAAAAGTTAATAGTAATCAAAACTAAGTTCAAGATGATATTGAAATTAGAGAAATCAAACAACAGAACATTTGTGTGGATTTTATATATTAAAGTATAATTTTTTGTGCATTAACATTTATTTTTTTACTTTCTTAGGCAATTTCCATTTTTAAAATCACTCTTTGAATAGGAAGTAGTATCAAAATTGTCCTCTATAAAGTTTTGTTCTAAAGTAAGCTTTTGGGCTAACCATACAAATTATTTTCGAAATTCATTACATAGAAACTTTGTTACCTATGTTAGCTCATCAATTAGTATTGGTCTACATTTATCAATATCACTTGTATTTCCTGATTCTCTTCTGCCTTTATATATCCAAGGCCAGCACCTACCTGTAGCAAATGCGTAATTTCCTTACAATCATAGATTGCCATTAAGCCCAAAGGAACTACCTTGGGAGAAAGAAGCAAAGTAGATTAAATATATACTTGTTAACTAGACCTCCCATGGTTCTATTACTCATTCTTCTTTATCCTAGAAATGTATTCTCTTAAACTTTATTTAAACTGTTTATATTCTTATTTCATGTTAATTACAGAAATACTAGAAATGAAATGTTTTGAAAACTTTTGAACAAAATTAGGAGATTTTTCTTAAGATTGGGTTTTTGTATTTAAGGATTCATTGAATCAATCACAAAATCTCATTAAATGTCATACTTGTTCTATATGACCAGTTTATTTTTTAGAATTTCTAGGTTTTCCTTAAGCTGACCTAAAATATTATTTACAACAGTATCTCAATTTCTGTATCCTCAATTCTGTAACCATGTCAATGAGTCTTTCATTTAAAAGGCTACTCAGGTTCCCTATTAAAATGAAGTAGCATTCCTTGGAGAAATGTTTGATTCTAGGACTAGGGCAGAGAATGTAAAAGATGAGCCTGGAATATCTTATTGTTCCAGGAAATAAAAAGTGTTAAAGGACATGGGAATTAGTTTGAAGTGGCTCCCATTGGCCAAATCTGGGACAATCAAAATAAATAATGATAGTAATAGATTATAACCAACTGAACAAAATAAGAATCCATGAGTTTATACTACTAATAAATACACACATTAATAAATAAGGGGTGGTGCGTGCCTGTAGTCCCAGCTACTTGGGAGGCCGAGGCAGGAGGATTGCTTGAACCTAGGAGTTTTGAGGTTTCAGTGAGCTATGATCGGGCCATTGCACTCCAGCCTGAGCAGCAGAGTGAGGCTGTGTCACTAAATAAATAAGGAATAAAGGAAAGCTTTTTCTTATAGTAGAATGCCAATTAGTAAATTTCCAAGGAGTGATGGAGTTTTAAAAAATCACTATTTGGCATCATAATAATCACTAAATCAGTCAACAATCAGCAGTGGATGCTAAAACTACTGGGTGAAAGCTTAATGAGGATAATCGCATAGTCTCAAAATATCTTCCCACAAAATAATTACAAAAGAAAAAATAGTAACATTTAGGTGGAGAAACCTGGCAGACACAATCCTAACCAATTGACTAAAGAGCATCAATCACCTCATGATGTGATGTACTGAAAAAGACACATAATCACTTAGTATATGCCTGCCAAAAATGCATGACCTGAATCTACTCAGGAGGAACCATCAGACAAGCCCAACCCTGGCCAAGATTCTTAAAAAATAACAATTTAAAGACAAAGAAAGACTGAGAAACTGTTCCAGATTAAAGGAAACTAAGACACATGACAACTAAATGCAACTTGTGATCAAGGGTTATATCCTGGACCAGAAAAATAAAAGTTGCAATAAAGGACATTATTGGGACAATTGGTGGCAGAATTTAAATGTGGAGTATACGTTAAATAATAGTATATCAATGTTAAATTTCTTGGTTTTGATAATTGTACTGTGCTTACTTAGCATTTTCTTTCTTTCTTTTTTTTTTTTTTGAGACAGAGTCTCACTCTATTGCCTGGGCTAGAGTGCCGTGGCACCAGCCTAGCTCACAGCAACCTCACACTCCTGGGCTTAAGCCATCCTACTGCCTCAGCCTCCCGAGTAGCTAGGACTACAGGCATTCGCCACCATGCCTGGCTAATTTTTTTCTGTATATTTTTAGTTGTCCATTCTTTCTATTTTTAGTAGAGACGGGGTCTCACTCTTGCTCAGGCTGGTTTCGAACTCCTGAGCTCAAACAATCTGCCTGCCTCGGCCTCCCAGAGTGCTAGGATTACAGGCGTGAGCCACCGTGCCCGGCCTTGTACTGTGCTTACAAAAGGGAATGTCCTTTTTCTTAGGAAATAGATACTGAAGTGTTTAGGGGTAGAGGAACATAATGTCTGAAACTTACTCTTACATGGTCCAGGAAGAAATGATATATACACATGTATATATAAATAAGAGAGGGAAAGCAAATGTGGCAAAAGTAATGTATATGAGTGAAGAATATATGGAAACTGTTTGTATTCTTCTTAAAAGTTTTCTTTAAAAATTTACCCAGATAAGAGAAATGTAAATAAAAACCACACTCAAATAGATACCATCTCACACCCGTTAGGATGGCTACTATCAAAAAAACCCAGAAAATGAGGTCAGGCATGGTGGCTCACAGCTGTAATCCTAGCACTTTAGGAGGCAAAGGCAGGAGGATTTCTTGAGGTCAGGAATTCAAGATCATCCTTAGGAAGAGCGAGACTCTATTTCTACAAAAATAGAAAACTTAGCTGGGCGTAGTGGCACGCACCTATAGTCCCAGCTACTTAGAAGTCTGAGTAAGGCAGGAGGATCATGGTGAGCCCAGGTGTTTGAGATTGCAGTGAGCTATGATGATGCCACTGCACTCTACCCCAGGCAATAGAGTGAGACCGCGCCTCAACAACAACAAAAACCCAGAAAATAACAAGTGTTGCTAATGATGTGGAAAAACTGGAAACCTTGTACATTGTTGGTGGGAATGTGAAATGTTGTAGCCATTATGGAAAACATATGGAAGTTCCTCAAAAAATTAAAAATAGAATTGCCAATCTCACTTCTGAGTATATGCAAAAGAATTCAGAGCTGGATCTTGTAGAGATATTTGCACACCCATATTCATTGCAGCATTATTCACAACAGCCAAGAGGTAGAAGCAACCCAAATGTCCCTTAATGGATGAATGGATAAAGAAAATGTGGCGTACATGCAATGGAATATTACGCAGTCTTAAAATCCTGTCACATCCTAAGACATGGATGAGTCTCAAGGATATTATGCTTAATAAAATAAGCCAGTCACGAAAGGACAAATACTATATGATTCCACTCATGAAGTATCTGAAATAGTCAAAATCATAGAAATGGAAAGTAGAGGTGGTTGCCAAGTGCTGAGGGGAGATATGAGGGGGAATTAGTGTTTAATGGGTATAGTTTCAGTTTGGCAAAATGAAAAGTTCTAGAGATCTGTTGCACAACAATATGAATATAGTTAACACTACTGAACTGTACACTTAAGTAAGACAGTGAATTTAATATTGCATTTTTTAGCTGGGCAATAAAATTACGCAGGTAATTCTGATGATAGCCAGGTTTTAGAAACTGGCAATAGTAGGTTAAAGATATGGGAAGAGGAAGGGCATAGAGCAATTTCTTTACTTTCCTGACTGTTATTTCCATCTTTTATAGATTGACAAACTGAAACAACAATTGACTGAAACAAAGGAAAAAGCCCAAGAGGAGAAGGAAAAATTAGTGAGTTATCTCTGTACTCGAATACTTTACTTAATAAATGGTCAGGTTTCTGGCAACCTCAGGTATTTTTTTTTTTTTTTTTTTTTACTACAACATGTTTTTATTTCACTGGAAAATTCTGTATAAAGAACCAAATCTGGTTCTCTTGAAGAAAACATTTATCACAGCTTAAATAAAAGTTAAGGGAAGAGAAAAGAGTACACTGCCCTGTGCTAGCTCTGTTACTACCTTACCTCTGACTCTGAGGCCCTATGGGATGGAAATCACAGGTGTCCAAGGGAACTCTGCTTGGCCCTCTGATACAGCCTTGAGAACAGCTGTAACATTGCTTTCTGGCCCAGCAACCTCAGGTATTTAAGATCCAATGAGAATAAATGAATAAGTTCTCTGAGCAGCTCAACGACCTTAAAGCCCACACACCTGATTGTACAGAAGCTCAAAAATAACATATGAAAATATGTTATTGGCTGGGCATGGTGGCTCACGCCTGTAATCCTAGCACTCTGGGAGGCCGAGGTGGGAGGATTCCTTGAGCTCAGGAGTTCGAGACCAGCCTGAGCAAGAGTGAGACCCTGTCTTTACTAAAAATAGAAAAATTAGCTGGATGTCATGGCACGCACCTGTAGTCCCAGCTACTTGGGAGGCTGAGGCAGGAGAATCCCTTGAGCCCAGGAGTTTGAGGTTACTGTGAGCTGCGATGATGCCATTGCACTGTACCCAGGGCAACAGAATGAAACTCTCTCAAAAAACAAAAAGGAAATTGAACCTCATTCCCTCCCCCTTCATATTTAAAAAATGTATATATTATTGTAGAAAACTATATGGCATTAATGGTACTTACTAATCCCGAGGTTGTTATTGTTTCTAGGGCTTTTCAGTGGACAGAGCTAGGAAATAAATGTTTTTGAAAGAGTAAACTAGACATGAGTCCGTTCTAATACTTTCAGTTCAGATGCAGGAATACAGCATTTTTACCTAACCTAATCTGTAGCTCCTTTCTCCCTTGTCAAAAATCTTGGTTCTTAATGATAACAATTATCTAGTTGCTTAAACCTTAATATATCAACAATCTCAGAATACTTATACTACCACTAACAATAAATTACTGTAAACAATTTAAGATTTGGGGGAGCGTTTTTCTTCCTTAGGATATATACCAATAAGGATCTATGGTCAAATTGCAAGGTTTAAAAACCACTTGATGCAAAAGACAACTCCTCCAAGCAAAAGAAAAAGAAAAGAAGAACCATTTGAAATTCCTTTCTATGAGGTTATGCCACCAACTCAACAACACATTTTGCTTTTGGTTTTTAGAGGTTTCTTTTTATTTTTTATTTTATTTTTTAGAGACAGGATCTCTTGCTATGTTGCTTAGGTTAGTCTTGAACTCCTGGCCCCAAGTGATCCTCTTGCCTCAGCCTCCCAAATAATTGAGACTATAGGTGTATACCACTGCACCTAGCTTAGTTTACTTTTTAAAAACCTAGTTTTGTATCTAAAATTATGTAATTATGATTATGTAAAATATATACAAGGTTCAAGTCTATAAAACAAATTACGTGCTGAGAAATCTAACTTCTATTCATGTTTTTTCCATACCATCTCCTCCCTGTAGAAAACCATTTTAATTATTTTATGATTTTATCTTATTATTAAAAAAAGTATATGTAATAAATATAAACAAATATGTATATATTTGTGTCTCCTCTTTCTTGGATAAAAGGTAGCATACAACATACATAGACCTGCACCTGCTTTTTTTCAGTTAACAATATTTCTTGGAGATCATACCATAGCAGTCTGTGGACATACTTCTCATTCCTGTTTATACTTATGTGGTAGTCCATTGCGTAGATGTACCATAGTTTATTCAAATGGTCCTTGTCTTAGTTCAGGCTGCCATGACAGATTACCACAGACTGAGGTGCTTAAATAACAAACATTTATTTCTCACAGTTCTGGAGGCTAGAAGTCTGAGGTCAGGGTGCCAATATGATTGGGTTCTTGGTGAGGGCTCACAGATGGCTGCCTTCTTGCTGTATCTTTACATGGTGGAAAGAGAAAGCTCTGGTGTCTTTATCTTTCTCTTCACCAATCCCATCATGGAGGCTCTACCCTCATAACCTCATCTAAACCTAATTCCCCCCAAAGGCCACACTTCCAAATACCATCACATTGGGAATTAGGGCTTCAACATATGAATTGGGGGAGGGGCACAAACATTTAGCACATAGCAATCCTCCCCCACCTTTTTTTTAGAAACAGTATTTTGCTCTGTCACCTTGGCTGGAGTGCAGTGGCCCAACCACAGCTCATTGCACCCTCGAACTCCTGGTCTCAAGGGATCCTCCTGCCTCAGCCTCCCGAGTAGCTAGGACCACAAGCTTGTGCCACCATACCTGACTAATTTTTTTATTTTTTGTAGAGATAGTGATTCACTGTGTTGCTCAGGGTGGTCTTAAACTTCTGCCCTCAAGTGATCCTCCCTTGGCCTCCCAAAGTACTGGGATTACAGGCATGAGTCACTGTACCTGGCCAGCAATTCCCTTTTCATGGATAGATGGCTTGTTTCCAGTCTTTTGCTGTTATGGTTAGTACTCCAATAGAGAGCCATGTGTATACACCTTTTCACTTTTTTTTTTTTTTTGGAGATAGGGTCTTGCTTTGTAACCCTCCTAGAGTACCGTGGTGTCCTCCTAGTTTACTACAACCTCAAAGGCCTCTGCTCAAGCAATCCTCCTGCCTCAGCCTCCCAGGTAGCTGGAACTACAGGCACGTACCACCACGCCTGGCTAATTTTTCTATATTTTGTGGAGACATGGTTTTGTTTTTGTTCAGGCTGGCCTCAAGCGATCCTCCCACTATGGCCTCCCAGAGTGCTAGGATTATGGGTGTGAGCCACCACACCCGAACCATATTTTCACATTTTGACTGCTATGTTTTTGAGATAGACTCCTAGAAGTGGTATTGCTAGCTAGGTCAGAAAAAAATATGTAATTTTTCTAGATATTGCCAAATTTCTCTCTATAGATATTGTGTCATTTTGTAATACCACTGATCATGTATGAGACTGCCTGTTTTCTCACAGCTTCATTGAACTAAGTATATTGTCAAACTTGATTTTTGCCAATAAGGTGAGAAATGGTATTTCAGTGTAGTTTCAATTTGCACTTCTCTTATTATGCATTAGATTGAGCAGTTTTTCATCTTTGAAGGCCATCTACATTTCTTTTTTCATCTTTTGTTCATTTTTTTAATTGTTAGTGGCCCTTTTCACCTCCTCCTCCCTCCTTTTCTCTCTCTCCTTCCTTCACTTCCCTCTCCTCCTCCTCTCTTTCCTTCTCTTCCTCCCTTCTCTTCTTTTTCCTTCTCCCTTCTCTTCCTCTTCCTTCCTTATCTTCCTCTCCCTTCTTTCCCCTACCATCTTCTTTATTTATTAGTCATATTGAACCTTCCTTTGTCTCTTAACTTACTAATTTTTAACTGAGGTCAAGGATATTATTTATCCTCCTCATAGATTAAAGATTTGTTTAGCCTTCTCATACCTCTTTTTAATAAATATATACATTTTCTTCCTTTCTGTACAAGATTAGCTTATATAGAAGTTTTCCAGAATTTTTTTCTTATTTAAGGCAGTTGGTATCTTTTTACAGAAATTAAAACTTTATGCAAAAATAAAGAGGGGGCATTTCTTCATGGAAGATATATAAATGGCTTTAAATGGAACATGACTCTATGAAACTTCTGTTCTTTTTCCTAACTTATTTACGTCTTTTTTGAATATAGGAACAAAAGTATGCCATGCAAATAAAGGAGCTAGAGGGCCAGTTCCATCAAAAAGCCAAAGAAATTGGCTTGATTCAGACAGAGCTGAAGACAATAAGACAATTTCAAAAGAGAAAAATCCAAGTGGAAAAAGAATTAGATGATGTAAGTTCCTTTTCTTTTTTGAAAAAAAGATTAGAATTAACTACTTGCAGAGCCTTTATAAACATTTACTCCTGTAAGATAGCAAAAAATTCTTTTTGACATTTTAGAGATTATTTGAGAGAAAAAGGGTAAGGCATTTCAGGTTAGGTAGGGCTGGATGCCAAAGGTCTTGACCTTAGACTTTTCTTTTTCTAAGCATTGATTTTTTTTTTTTTTCTGAACTCACCAAATCTCTGCCAGTATACCCTTGCACGTTTATCAGCAGGTGACCCTTTGGATTGATGTCAGTAAGAAACAAATTACCAGTTCTTAGAAAACATCAGGGCAAAAGTAGCAAAGTCTTAAAGAAAAATATGTTTAGGCTGATGAATATTAGTTTTAGAAAAATTTAGAAGACTTAACAGAGGTAGGAGTCAGTGGGGTGAGGAGCACTAAGTACTTCTAGAAAGTTTTTCTCATCTTGCTATGCTCTTTCCTTGGCTCAGAATATAGTTTTATTGCATCAACAATAATACAGTAAATGGCACAGGTAGGTAAAATCAGCTTTGTGACTGTAGACATTACTTAACCTTTCCTTTTTTTTTTTTTTTAAGAAATTTATCAAAAAGAAGTTGAATAAAGACAAGAAATCCCCCTTCTCCACTCCCACCCCCTCCCCCTCACTCACTCAGCACACAGAAACATACCACCTTTTGTGGAGGTGCCATGTACACACCCTGACAGGGCTCCAGTGCCACTGACACCTTCTACAAAAGGAATGGCAAATGGGTGTTATTTCAGAGAGACCAAGGTTGGCTACCCAGAGCCTTAAGCCAAGAACTCTGCGGGATCTATGATCTGTTAATCATGTCTGCCAGAAGTGCTGGAGATTGGCCTGGAGGCCCATATTCATGAATCATCTTCTGTTAGTCCTGTAATTTTCAAAAGTTACAAACCTAATCCTCATACAAATTTAGAAAGAACATGTGCTGGAGGCATATTTAACTCATTAACAAGGAAAACAGCAGGACCGTAAAGATGGTTCCCCACTTAACCTTTCTATACTTTGGTTTCCTCATTTGTAAAATGGGGATAAGCATGCGCCTGTAGTCTCAGCTACTTGGGAAGTTGAGGTGGGAGGATTGCTTGAGCCCAGGGGTTCAAGGTTGCAGTAAACTATGATAATGACACTACACTTCAGCCTGGGCAGCAGAGCAAGACTCTGTAAAAAAAAAAAAAAAGGGGGGGGGATAATAGATTATCGTCTCATAGAGTTATTGTAAGATTAAATGAGTTAATATTAATATATGTAGGTCAGGCAAGGTGGCTCACACCTGTAATCCTAGCACTTTGGGAGGTCCAGGTGGGAAGATCACTTGAGGTCAGGACTTTGAGACCAGCCTGAGCAAGAGACCCCGTCTTCTCCTAAAAATAGAAAAAAAATAGCTGGGCGACTAAAAATAGAAAAAATTAGCCAGATGTGGTGAAGCACGCCTACAGTTCCAGCTACTCGGGAGACTGAGGCAGGGGGATCACTGGAGCCCAGGAGTTTGAGGTTGCTGTGAGCTAGGCTGACGCCACAATACTCTAGCCTCGGCAACAGAGCGAGAGACTCTGTCTCAAAAAAAATGATATGTAAAATAATATATGTAAAATGCTTAAAATAGTGCCTGTCCCATGATTAGAATAACATAAACAGTGGTGTGTAGCTCTCTGTAAAAAAAAAAAAAAAAAAAAAGGCCCCGATTTGTAGCATTTGCTGATTTCCACGGTGTAAATACTTTATTATAGCAAGGGCTGTAGTCATCTGAAAGCTTAATTGGAGTTTGAGGATCTGCCTTGAAGGTGGCATATTCCTATGACTGTCAAGTTGGTGCTGGTGATGAGTGGGAGGCCTCAGCTTCTGCCTACATGGGCCCCTTCATAAGCTGCTTGAGAGTCCTCATGACTTGATGGATGATTTCACCCAGGAGAAAGCCAGACAGAAGCTATCTTTTTCATGACCTAGCCTTGGAAGACACATAGCATAACTTCTGCCATATTCTTTTAGTTAGAAGTAAGTCCTTACGTTTGGCCCACATTCTAGGGGTGGGGAATTTGGTTCTATCATTTGAAGGGAGGGGCATTAAAGAACTTATGGACTTATTTTATAACCATCATATGACCACAACCCAAAGTATACACTGCTGCAGGAATAATTTTAAAATATCACAGTTCTGGCTGGGCGTGGTGGCTCATGCCTGTAATCCTAGCACTCTGGGAGGCCGAGGCGGGAGGATCGCTCAAGGTCAGGAGTTCCAGACCAACCTGAGCAAGAGTGAAACCCCCGCCTCTACTAAAAATGCGAAGAAATTAGCTGGACAACCAAAAATATGTATATAGAAAAATTTAGCCAGTCATGGTGGTACATGCCTGTAGTCCCAGCTACTTAGGAGGCTGAGGAAGGAGGATCGCTTGAGCCCAGGGGTTTGAGGTTGCTGTGAGCTATGCTGACACCACAGCACTCTAGCCCAGGCAACAGAGTGAGACTCTGGCTCAAAAAAAAAAAAAATCACAGTTCTGATAGTGCTGTGATCACATGCCTCAAGAATCGTCTTTAGTTATTTCTCCACTATAAACAGAATATTGTCCAGACAACTTAGTGTGAAAACAAAGACACTGTACCTACTTAGGAACATAATTATCTCCTTTTACTATACCACCCCACAATACCTTTAATCTACCCAAACTCAGTATTTACTCATCCCTGAAGTCTTGCCTGCCTTTCTTACATCGTTCACAATGTTTTTTTAATCTGGAATATATTCCTGATAGATCTCTGTCCATTAAAATATTATCTGTCCTTCAAAAGCTCAGCTCAAATGCATGTCCTCCCTGAGACTATCCTCTAGAGTCCTGCTTAAAAGTAACAATTTCTTTTCTGTACATTTCCATAGCATTTTGTATCTCTTTTATACCACTTAGCCTCATTCTGTCTTGACATTACATTTATTTATTACTTGTCTTATCTCTTCTACTAGATTGTAAATTCTTTGAGGCTTGAACAATGTTGTCCTTTGTATTCACTGAAATACAAGATACACAGTAATGCTTAATAAACCTTTGTTAAATGCTGAGTGGGTCTTTTCATTGAAACATAATTGAAGGAGTGTCAGGTTTTATAGAAGGAATATAAAGTTTAGTTTTCTGTGAAAATGCTGCAGATTGAAATCAACACAATTAACTTTTCAGGAACTCTTAAAATAGCTATCCTATGTGTAGGTATATATTGAATGAATTAAGAACTATTAATAGTTGTGCATATTCTGTTGGGCCATAATGTGATTTTTTTAAAAAGAACAATGTTGCCACCTAGTGGAGAAATAGATTTCAGACCTTTCAAAATGGGCTGTTGGGGGGCCGGGCACGGTGGCTCACGCCTGTAATCCTAGCTCTCTGGGAGGCCGAGGCGGGCGGATTGTTTGAGCTCAGGAGTTCGAAACCAGCCTGAGCAAGAGAAAAAAAATAGAAAGAAGTGATCTGGACAACTAAAAAAAATATATATAGAAAAAATTAGCCGGGCATGGTGGCACATGCCTGTAGTCCCAGCTACTCGGGAGGCTGAGGCAGTAGGATGGCTTGAGCCCAGGAGTTTGAGGTTGCTGTGAGCTAGGATGACGCCACGGCACTCTAGCCAGGGCAACAGAGCCAGACTCTGTCTCAAAAAAAAAAAAAAAAAAGTATTCAAGGCATACATTTTAAAGAAAAAATGACTTCTATATGCCCGATTAACAGAAGATGCATATATTGTTAGGTTGCAGTTATTTTTTAATAGTTTTAGTCCTTTTTGACAAAGTGATAATACTCATTTCTGAAAATTTAGCTCAGCTGATAAAAGAATAAAATAAAAATACCCTATACCTCACAATTACACTACCTAGAGGTAACCATTGTTAATACTTAGGTATATAGTTGTTCCTTTTTTCCTCTGCTGTATAGAAACATATTTTAAAATATCTATATACTGTCCCGAGTAGCTGGGACTACAGGCATGTGCCACCATGCCCAGCTAATTTTTTCTATATATTTTTAGGTGTCCAGATAATTTCTTTCTATTTTTTTTAGTAGAGATGGGGTCTCGCTCTTGCTCAAGCTGGTCTCGAATTCCTGAGCTCAAAGGATCCGCCCGCCTCGGCCTCCCAGAGTGCTGGGATTACAGGTGTGAGCCACCGCGCCCAGCCTACAATTTCTTTAAGTGGCTTAAATCTTTCAAAAAGTAATTAATACATTTATAATAGATTGTAGTTAAGGAAATTTGTTTGGTATAGGGAAGAACAATATTAAACATAATAATAACTAACCTATATATTAAATGGTTACTATGCTAAATACTTTACATGTATTATTTGTTGTTTAATCTTTACCATACCCCTATGAGATAGGTACTATTACAGTTTTATACATGGAGACCAAGTTAAGTGACTTGCCCAGAGTCCCAACAGCTACTGTCAAACAGGTAGAGGGAGAAGCAGCATTGGATTCTGATCCATCTGATGGAAAGCTTTTCTCTACAGATTTTTTTGTGTTGTTTTTTTTTTTTGAGACAGAGTCTCGCTCTGCCACCTGGGCTAGAGTGCAGTGGCGTCATCATAGCTCACTGTAACCTGAAACTCCCAGGCTCAAGCGGTTCCTTTGCCTCAGCCTCCCAGGTAGCTGGGACTACAGGTGTGTACCACCACGCCTTCCTAATTTTTCTATTTTTTTGTAGAGATGGGGTCTCTTGCTCAGGCCGGTCTCTAACTCCCGGGCTCAAGCAGCCCTCCCATCTTGGCCTCCCAGAGTGCTAGTATTATAGGCGTGAGTCACCACGCCTGGCCTCTACTGCCCTTTTTGTGGCATGAGTGTTAGATTGAATATGCCTGTTTCTTTTTTTTTCCCCAGAGTATCAGATCTTTTGTTGTCCTCAAGTAAGAATATGTCTATTTCAATCTTAATCATTCTTGCCCGTAAATATAGACTGTAGGATCATTGCTTTAAATGAGTTCAACTTTCTTTGACTAGAATAATTTTATGTCCTTTCTATTCCATACAGTTTTGAGAACAGAAGTAGGATACATCCATGACAATCATGAGGAGATGTTTTTTAGATTGATATTAGAAAGAATTTTTTTTTAAAAAATGGGAACTATTAAAGGACAGCCTAGTGAATTAATGAGATTTGAGTTAGTGATAATTCTGTTTCAGGACATCTTTCTTATAGAAGGAATTCCTGTATCAGGTGGGAGAATTATGTAGTCTAACTCCTAAGTTCTCTTCCAATTCTAAAATTTTATAATTCTGTGATTCCATATGTTTGAATAGATGGTATTTAGAAAATATGATTATGAGAACAACTTGTCCGAATGTCTGAGATCTGTTACTCATTAAAGGCTTTTTAAAAACTCAATATAGTAGTCCCCCCTTATCCACAGGGAACACATTCCAAGACCCACATAGATGTCTGAAACTGTAGATAGTACTGAACCCTATATATACTATGCTTTTTCCTATACATGTATACCTAAGATAAAGTTTAATTTCTAAATTAGGCACAGTAAAAGATATAACAACAAAAACTAATACAATAGAACAATTGTAACAATATACCATAATAAAAGTATGTGAATGTGGTCTCTCTCTCTCCCTTTCCCCACCACAATATCTTAATGTTTTTGGACTGTAGTTGACCGTGGGTAACTGAAACTGCAGAAACTGAAACCGCAGATAAGGGGGGACTACTGTATTGATCTTGTAAATCTATAGAAGATTGAGGGAAATATGGTACTTAGAGGCAAGAACACCAACCTTTTCTTTGTGTTCAAGATTAAGAGGTAATGTAGAACAGAAAATGTTTCTTTATTGAGATTTTCTGGGAATATGCCCCAATCAACCCCATTTCCTATAGACCATTTTTAACTTTTTTGTTATTTTGATTTTAGCTGAAGGAGAATTTAAGGAACACAGAGCGGAAACATCAGGAGACTCTTAGAAGACTGGAAGGCAGGTTTTTTGAAGAAAAGGTAGAGAATATTTGGGTTAATTAAGAAATGTTTTGTTTTACTGAAACAACATTTAAGTGTATTCTGAGACATATCAACCTTCCATTTGGTATCGTATTAGAAAATTAAAAGATTATTATTGAATAATAGCAGAATAAAAATCAGGGAAAACAAAACCTTCTGTTTTAGAAATCTCAATGTCTAGTCCTTTTTTTCCCCCTCCAGTTCAGAGATTCTTAAAATCCTCCACAGGGATTGTCATCATATGAAGGCTTCAGTACCCATCTCCCTCGGCCTGGTGGGACTACATGTACTACATTATGTAGGGGAGATGGGATTGGAGAAGTCACTCTGGTGTATATATGAAGATGATCCCTTAGTCAAGCCGAGCTAAGGATGTTAATAAAAGGGGTTTCAAAAATGCTCCTTAGCATATCACAAACTTCCAAGTTTCTCTGTGTTTCTGAAGTTAATTCTCCAAATTGTGAGAAATACATCGGAACACTTCTCTTGTACAGAATCCTTTCAGAGGCCCCATGTTTTTTCTTTAATTATTTCTTTAATTTTTCATTCTTGGGAAAGAATTGGTAGGGATGTAGGGAGTTGAGAGTGGGGCAAATATGTACCCATGAGGTTTAGATAAGAGAAATTGCTTTAGAAAGTGTTTCTAGGTTTCTAGTTTATGTATTGAATAACCTGGAAGGAGTGGAGCAGGATCAGCACCCTAGTGCTTTCCCTCTGAGCCACTTGCTGGCGCTGTCAGGAATGGAAGCCCTAAAGATTAGGCTGTTCTCAGTAGCCTCTCCCTTCTACTGCACCCTAATCTCGATCCCTTTTCTACTGGGTATAGGAAATAAAGGTTAGAAGTGCTTTGTCAGTTTGCAGAATACCTGAGTGACTGTGTCTTAGTGTGTTTGTGTTGCTATAAAGGAGTACCTGAAGCTGGGTAATTTATAAAGAATAGAGGTTTATTTGGCTCATTGTTCTCCTGGCTGTACAAGAAGCATGACACCAGCACCTGCATCTGGTTAGGGCTTCGAGCTACTTACACTCATGGCAGAAGGGGAAGGGGAGCGGGCATGTGCAGATCACATGGCCAGAGAGAAAGCAAAAGAGAGGGGAAAGGTGCCAGGCTCTTTTTAACAACCAGCTTTCCAGGGAACTCTTATGGAAACTAATAGAGTGAGAACTCATTACCTGGAGGGGGCACCAAGCCATTCATGAGGGATCTGCCCCTATTACCCAGACACCTCCCATTACGCCCCACCTCCAACACTGGGGATCAGATTTCAACATGAGACTTGGTAGGGACAAATAAATCAAATCCAAACCATAGCACATTACTTATGTAAATAGGATTTTTATATCTGAAAGCAGGTAGCTGCTGGCTTTTCCCTCATGGTTACAAGACAGTTACTGCAGCTCCAAGCTTTGTCTGTGTTCAAAGCAAAAAGAATAGTGGCTCTAGCAGTATCTCTCCCTTTTATCTAGAAATCATAAAAACTTTCCCAGAAGCTCCTAGCAGATTTGATCAGATCCATGTTATAAAGGATGCTAGGAAATTGTTTCGTTTTTCCAGCCACTAGTAGAAGCTAGGAAAGAGAAAGGAGGATGGGACTGAGTGTTAGGTTGGCTAGCCACCGCAGTATCAGACTCACCATGTTAGGCATAAACTTCATGGGTATTTCTCCTGTGCTGGGTTGAGCCCCAGTGCTGCTGCTTCATGGCAGTGGGCTTTCCAGTAAGCCTGTTCGTTCATCTCATACCTCAGCATGCTTCACCTGGTCATATAAAGGATTTCCCCAGGTCATCAGTGTTTTGCTTGGTTTTGTTTTCCCATTTATTCCTTTCTGTTGCTTAAAACACAAAGTGCTATCCTACACCATATTTTTTCTTTTCTTTTTTAGAGACAGGGTCTCGCTCTGTCACCTAGGCTGGAGTACGGTGGTGTGATCATAGCTCACTGCAGTCTCAAACTCCTGGTCTTCAAGCGATCTTCCTGCCTTAGCCTCCTGAGTAGCTAGGACTACAAATACACACCACCATACCTGGCTAATTTTAAAATTTTTTGTAGAGGTGGGATTCACTGTGTCTCAAACTCCCGGCCTCAAGCAATCCTCCCAGCTTGGCCTCCTAAAGTGCTGTGATTTCAGGTATGAGCCACTGTGCCTGGCCTATACCATATTTTGTACTTGCTATTGCCTCTTCCTGGAATGCTCTTCTCCAGCTCTGGCTCATTCTCATTCTTTTTTTTTTTTTTTTTTTTTTTGAGATGGGAGTTCTTGCTGTGTTGCCCAGGCTGGAGTGTGGTGGCACCATCATGGCTCACTGCAGCCTCAAAACTCCTGGGCTCAAGTGATCCTCTTGCCCTAGCCTCCTGAGTAGCTGGGACTACAGGTGCACACCATCATGCCCAGCTACTTTTTTATATTTTTTGGTAGAGATAGAGTCTCACACTCCTGGGCTCAAGTGATCCTCCCGCCTTGGCCTCTCAAAGTGCTAGGATTACAGGCATGAGCCACCATGCCCAACCTCATTCTCATTCTTTAGACCTCAAATGTCATTTCCTCAGAGAGAGATTCCCTAAATTGTAGTCTAAAATGACCTCCCCCAGTTACTATCTATCTCATTACCCCATTTATTTTATTTTATTTACAACACTCATCTATCTCAGTGTATTAACTCTCTTATTTGTTTACTTGTTAGGGGGCTGTGTAACATCAGATTGCCTGCATACGAATCCCTGCTCTGCCACTTACTAGCTATGTGACTTTGGGCAAGTTACTAACTTCTCTTTTTCTCAGTTTCCTCGTCCTTGCTTTTGGGGATAATAATTTCATAGGGTTGTGAGAAATAAATTATGTATGTAAAGCTCTTAGAACCATGCCTGGCACACAGTAAATACTCAGTACATTGTAATTATTGCTTATTGTTTAGATCCCACCCTAGGACATAGCTGCATGACATCAGGGACCTTGTCTGTTTTGTTCACCACAGAATCTTCAGTATCTAAAACACCTAGTACACTATTAGTGCTCGATAGGAATTTATTGAATGAATAAATGAATGACTCTAATCACATTGCATTTAGCAGAGATTTTTTCCAGATCTGCTTTCCAATACGGAAGTGGATTTTTCCACCCCTATTTACATGTCATGTTGCTTCTTTAGTGGGGAAATTGGGAGGTGCCTTAAGGTTCCTGTGTTCACACTATCCTCTTTGCTGGCTTGTCCACCAGTGCTGGGAGTTCTTCACGTCAGGTCATGTGGACAGGAGTATTTTATTTGACATTCTGAAATAAATACTTTTTTTTTATTGTTTTCCAAGCAATGAAATAAACACTTTTTAATATGTAAAATTTGTTGTTAGAAATATAACTGTATTTAAGTAGCCTATTTTCTTTTTTAGCACCGTCTAGAAGAAGAGGCTGAAAAGAAGATAATAATGCTGGCAGAGAGAGCCCACCAGGAAGCTGTTGTGTAAGAGACTGCTGCCTCCTTTTTCTTTCTGATAGCCTCTCTTACCTTGTTGCTGGTCTATTTTCTTCTTTCCTTGTCTTCTCCCTTCTCTCCCGTCTTGCTTTCTTCAAATTTTCTGGCCTACTCACCATCACTGTTTCTGTCTCTTTGTGTTCCCCCCACCTTCTTTCCTTTGGCCCTTTCTGTAGAAGCACAATGTGGTAGAAAGAACCTGGACTTGGAACTTATTTAGACTTATGGTTCTCAACATATATATTAACTGACTATAGAAGGATATATTAACTTTCTTGAAATTAAATTTCTTCCTCTAAATATGGGGCTAATAGCAATCTTGCATGGTTGTCATAAGGTATATTAGTGAACATAACACTAAGCTGTGTTATGTTAACAAATGAACTCTCAGGTCTCAGTGGTTTATTTCTTGCTCAAATAACAACCCAATGTTGGTCTGGTAGCTCTCCTCCAGTGGTGATTCAAGAATCTGGGCTGCTTTCATCTTGCACTTCTACTATCTTAGAGTTCTTCACTTTTAGTCATGTGGACAGGAAAGAGCATGGAACACTCAGACCTGCTCTTAACTGCCTTGCACTAGAAGTAACATATCGTTTCCATTTCCATATTCAGCGAGAACTTAGTCACTAGATCCCCACCCAACAATTTTTTTTTTTTTTTTTTTTTTGAGTCTCGTTCTGTCACCTGGGCTAGAGTGCCATGGCGTCAACCTAGCTCACAGCAACCTCAAACTCGTGGGCTCAAGTGATTCTCCTGCCTCAGCCTCCGAGTAGCTGGGCTTACAGGCATGCACCAGCATGCCCTAGCTAATTTTTCTATTTTTAGTAGAGATGGGGTTTCGCTCTTGCTCAAGCTGGTCTCCAACTCCTGACCTCAAGTGATTCTCCCATCTTGGCCTCCCAGAGTGCTAGGATTACAGGCGGGAGCCACCTCACCCGGCCTAATTTTTTTTTTTAAGAGACAGGGTCTCACTCTGTTGCCCAAGCTGGGGTACAATGGCCCAACCATAGCTCACTGTAACCTCGAATTCCTGGACTCAAGCAATCCTCCTGCCTCAGCCTCCTGAGTATCTTGGAATACAGATGTGTGCCAGAGACAAAGTCTTGCTATTTCAGAGACAAGGTCTTGCTATTTTGCCCAGGCTGGTCTTGAACTCCTGAGCTCGAGTGATTCTCCCACCCCAGCCTTCCAAAGTACTAGGATTACAGGCATCAGGCACTGTGTTCCACCCCCATCTAATTATTGAGTATCTACCATAAGCTAAATAAGTGGTGACTTATTGGTCATTATTATTAATGTTGGGGGGGGGTAAAGCAATCATTGTTCTAGTTTGATAATATCTAAAACTTAGACCTGTATTTTGGGACCTTATATCTATCTATTTCAGGCAACTGAACAATGCTGGAAGAAATGTTTTTAAAGAGAATATTTCTCTCCAGAAAGCTCTTGCATACCACCTGAAGGAAGCTGATGATCTACAAAAAAGCTCCCAGAAGTTGCAAGAGAGTCATACTGTCCTTTTACATCAAAAGGTTCCCTCTCATTTAGACTTTGTTTCCTAACTTTTTTTTAAAGATTGGGTTGGTAAATACCAAGAATTGGTTATAATAATGATATATAAGGGTGATAGGACCATTTCCCTATGACACACTTTCCTTATCTGAAAGACTAATTACTGAATGACTTATAAGAAGCATTATATTCAACTTTAAAAAGAATATATCAGAAACATAAATATGACTTTTTCTCTCTACTACCTTAGAATAAGTTATTTTTCTTTGCTTATAGTTGGTCCCTGAATCATTTAAGAATAGGTTTAGCTGTGAGTAACAGACCTGACATCAATGGCGTCACCACACAGGGTTTATTCTTTCACCTAAAGGAAGTCTGAAGGTAAACAATCCAGAGCAGGAATAGTAGTGCCACAAAGTCAGCAGACACTCAGCTTCCTTAACTCTGTTCTGCAACGTGGGCCTTATGACCTCAAATTCATTTCATGGCCCAAGGTGGCTGATGGAGCTCTAACCATCACTCCATAAACAGCAGGAAGGAAGACAAGAAGGAAAAAATATGCTTCTCCCTTTATTTATTTATTTATTTGTTCGTTCATTCATTCATTTAGTTTTGGAGACAGAGTCTCACTCTGTTATCCTGGCCACAGTGCAGTATTGTCATCACAACTCACTGCAACCTCAAACTCCTGGGCTCAAGACATCCTCCTGCCTCAAACTCCCAAGTACCTGGGACTATAGGCGCACACCACCATGCCAAGCTAATTTTTTCTGTTTTTTGTAGAGACGGGGTCTTGTTCTTGCTGCTCTTGCTCAGGGCTGGTCTCGAACTCCTGAGCTCGAGCAATCCTCCTGTCTTGGCCTCCCAGAGTGCTAGGATTACAGGCGTGAGCCACTGCACCTGGCCTTGCTTCTCCCTTTAGAGGTCTTCCTGGAAGTATTACACACATTGCCACTTGCATCTTATTAACCAGAACATGGCTATGCTGAATTTCATGGGAGGCTGGGAATTTTTAGCTGGGCTTACTGCCTTTCTGAATAAAACTGGGGTTTTATTAACAAAAGAGGAAAGGGAAAATGGGTATTGGGATAGGGAACTAAGACACTGCCACAGTTTACAGTATATAGTTGTTAATGTTTTACTGTATATTTTTATTGATTTGGATAATATAAAATATTTAACCTTTCTAAATTTGAGAGGAAGGAAAGGTTCTTAATTAGCAAAATTAGTGGATTGCCTTCACAAGATAAGGACCCTAGGATGTTTGTTATTTTCTGTACACACAACAGCAAAATATCACCTTCTCAGCCTATCATCAAACTCAAATCATATGAAATAATGGGTTAGTGAGGAACTTTTAAGTTCTGGAATGAAAAATATCTCTCACCTCTCTCATTGTTCTGTTTTAAGGAGATCAATGAGCTATTGGTTAAGGAAAAGATTATGCAACTTACGCAGCAGAGATCGCAAATCCAAACTCTTCAGAAGAAGGTGGTAAGCTTGGAGACTGCTCTGAATTGCATGACCAGAGAGTTTGAGACTGAGGTTTTAAAACTGCAACAACAGGCAATGATAGAGAACCAAGCAGGTCGGGTAGAAATCGACAAGCTGCAGCACCTTCTTCAGATGAAGGACAAGGAAATGAATCGAATGAAGAAGCTGGCCAAGAACATACTGGATGAGAGAACAGAAGTGGAAAGATTCTTTTTAGATGCCCTGCACCAAGTGAAGCAGCAGATCCTGTTTAGCAGGAAGCATTATAAGCAGATAGCGCAAGCTGCTTTCAATTTAAAAATGAGAGCAGCATGTGCAGGAAAAACAGAATATCCCCCAATCAGAACATTTGATGGTAGAGAGCACAGTACCAATAGCGTGAATCAGGATCTTATGGAGGCCAAGAAATGGTATTAGTAATATTTTAATACATTATCTTTTGTGCTGCTATTTTTGTGCCCTTTATAGAAATAAGAACTCCGGATGTTTAGTTTAATAATATCCAAATATTGAATAGATTTCTCAGTAAGTTACTTGAGGCCAGGAACTGACTGACTCCTCTTTGTAACCCGTCCTATGCTTAGCATGGTGGCTTAGTATGTATTCTTAGTGGGTGCCTCCCTTTTTCTCTTGACAGAGACTTGTTAAAGAAACTAGATTATTTAGTCTAGTCTATCTAGTCAATCCCAGAAGATGTCACTATAATATATTTTAACTTGTTTCTTTATCTTACATCCTGTAAATTGGAAATTAATTATAAAGGTTTGATTAGATTCAGGTTATTATGCTAAATGGTAAGTGAAGAGAAAAAAATAAAAAAATAGATTCAGGTTAAACATTTTTGATAAGCATACTTTCAGAAGTATTTTGTACCGTTCCCTTTACTGTCTTGAGATGAAATTCATAGGTAATAATATCTAACCATATATAATTTTTAAAAATCAATATAACAACTCTTTGTAACAATTCTTTGTTGTGCAGAACTATCCCACGGATTGGAGGACATTCCATAATGCCCCCATCATTGCATTAACCAAGAGTCCCCCAAAATTATACAAAATTTTAGAGATCTACTGCTACTATAATAAAGTAGCAGAATATTTGAGATAGTTGCAGACTGTATACAATGATTAATTTTGTTTTCTGTTAACACTTTTGTTTCTTAGAGCAGTCGTCCCCCTATAAACTGTGGATTAAATTATAGTCCATTTTGAAGATTATTCTGAAAAAAATTATTTTATATTCCAATGCAGTTAGGTTCTTCAAAGGCCCTAACTCAAGAAACTTAAAAGGACTCCCCACTGCTGTGTATGTAACATTTTATTAAGAGTGCTTCCAAATGTGTTTTCTGCTTTAAATTATTTTTTTTCTGAGATCACGCAGTGAGATGCTTTAAATTATTTTTAAGAGACTAATTTCTAAGTTCTTTTGAATCACATAGCTGTTGGGGAAGTTGAGTAGCCCTTGAAAATTTTTGAGATAAGATTCTTCTTCAAAAATGCCCATACTGTAATTTTTTACCTTTTTGCCATTTTAGAAGTCTGTAATACCACTTCTATTACCAAGAGATTTGCGAGAATCTCCTCCTTTTTATTTAATAAGTCAAGTAAGTTGAGTACCTACCACACATAAAGGCAGTTTCCTTTACATCCTTTTGTCTACAGTATATTAAGTATTATAAATTTTCTAAAGTTAAATAAAATGGTTCGCTACATTGTTATTGCAGAAACTGGACTCTTCCTATTCTGCCTTCTGTGTGACATTTTTGCTACTGGCCAACTTATCACCTTAACCTGAGTGTCCTATTGCCTCTATCAGCAGGGCAGAAATGGTGGTTTAAATATCACATTTATTTAAGTGGTAGATTGGGAAAGGACAATTGAAGTATGTGGTAATCATAAGGCAAAACCTGAATTTAAAAAAAAACGAAAGTTAAAAGAAAAACACCTATCAACAACCTCACCAAACAATTTTTTTCCTTGTTTCCTTTGTCTTTGTGTGTATCTGTACATATAATGTTAACATTACAATTTTCTATTTTGTTAATTTGCTTAATGTTTGAGCACAAAATTTTTTTCGTGTTATAGTTTTTGTCATTTTCATCTTAATGACTACATAACATTTTGGATTGGCTAGTATATTGATATTCTTTTCAACTTTATGATTTTGTAATGGATACAGTTTCCTTTGTAGTTGTTATATAATATTCAGTTATGGTTTGGAATTTTTCTAATGTTTACATATTTTATATTTTTTCAAAAGAGGAGAAGCTTACTTTGACCATATTTTTCCTTTTCATGTTTTTTCATTGAAATTCTTCAGGACAGATATTCAAGGAAATGTGGATATTGGAGATTTGACCTGGGAGCAGAAGGAGAAAGTCTTGAGATTGCTCTTTGCAAAAATGAATGGTTTTGTTCCTAGGTAACTATTTCTGCAGCGAAATATCAAGTTGTTATCAAACGTAGAAATTACATTGGAACAATGAAATTATTCTTACTTAGAATTAAAGGAATAGGAAAGGACCAGAAAATATAAAAAGGCCCTACTGCTTAGCTACTGCAACTCCTAGAGATAAAGAATGGGAGATAAATGGATGAGCATGAGAATGAAAGATGAAGTGGAATTAAAAGCAGGGAGAGAAAAGATTAATCTTACATGTTTTTTTTTTTTTGAGACAGAGTCTCACTCTGTTGCCCTGGCTAGAGTGAGTGCTGTGGCATTAGCCTAGGTCACAGCAACTTCAAACTCCTGGGCTCAAGCGATCCTACTGCCTCAGCCTCCCGAGTAGCTGGGACTATAGGCATGCGCCACCATGCCCGGCTAATTTTTTCTATATATTTTTAGTTGTCCAGATAATTTCTTTCTATTTTTTTAGTAGAGACGGGGGTCTCACTCTTGCTCAGGCTGGTCTCGAACTCCTGAGCTCAAACAATCCGCCCGCCTCGGCCTCCCAGAGAGCTGCTAGGATTACAGGTGTGAGCCACTGCGCCCGGCCTGTCTTACATGTTTAAGGTAATGCTTACTAAGAAGTTACACGTTGCTCAGCTGAATAAGTGGCAACTGAAGAGAAGCATAATAACTGTTAAGATTTTATTGGTCTGCAAAGTAAATGATGTTTTATTAATCAAGGGACTCTCTAATACAAGAAGGAGACCTAGAAAGGAAAACAGAAATCCATAGATATTCCAAATTCATTTTTTTTTTTAAGACAGTATTTTCATTGTTGAACTGGAGATGATGGCCATATATTGAAGTGAAAAATACCTTTAAGGCATTTGCAAATATTGACTGGAGTACAGATGAGCATTTAGGGAGGAAGATTTGAGCATATTTAGTGAAAACTGGTAGTTGAGTCTAGGAGAGTAGATGAAGGTAGAAAAGTAGAGCTGAGGCTAGAACCTTGAGTAATATCCACAATTAGGGAAGAGGAGAGCAAAACAGAATACAGCCAAAGAGAAGAGATTAAAGAATTACAGGCTAAATGAAAAGTGGAGGATTTTATTAAAGAGGTGGAGGTAGACTCCATGCTACAGGTACTGAATGTTTCATTGTAAGTTGACTTTTCCATACTCCAGGAAATACAGCCAGAGTTCCAGGCCTCTAGTTCCATACTATGTTGTTTTCAATACTGGAGAAACAAAGGAATTTTGAGTGAGATAGTTCACACCAGAGCAGTGAACTTGAACCACAACAGAATCATGTCTAAGCCTGTTGGCATTTCATGCCAGAATTGAATAAAGGAAAAATAAGGAATAGAATGGTGAAATATTGATGTGAAGATGAGATTAAATGAGAAAGTTCAAACCAGACTGGGGAGAAATTAGATGATAAAAGGTTTACCAAGGCAAGTGGTGTAATTAGGAAGTTGGTCAGAGTACAGTTGATTGTATATAATTGTGAATCTAACAGTATAGTATTTTTCTTTTTTTTGAGACAGAGTCTCACTCTGTTGCCCGGGTTAGAGTGCTGTGGCGTCAGCCCAGGTCACAGCAACCTCAAACTCCTGTGCTCAAGCGATCCTCCTGCCTCAGCCTCCTGCGTAGCTGGGACTACAGGCACGTGCCACCGTGCCCGGCTAATTTTTTTCTATTTTTAGTTATTTGGCTAATTTCTTTATATTTATAGTAGAGACAGGGGTCTCGCTCTTGCTCAGGCTGGTCTTGAACTCCTGAGCTCAAGCAATCCTCCCACCTTGGCCTCCCAGAGTGCTAGGATTACAGGCGTGAGCCACCGTGCCTGGCCCAACAGTATAGTATTTTTCTTTTTGATTGAACTAAGTCAAAGGGGTATAACCAAGCTGTATACTTCAGTGCATCAACAACCACTCTGACACTATTAGTCTCTAAAGTATATTTTTTAAATGTATTGTTATTGGACTAATATAGTCAGATTTTGAATGGGTTTATACTGCTTTCACATGTACCTAATTGAGGACAAGGATTTAGGAGTGTGGGGGATGTGTCTATCTGTTGGTAAATCAACCTACTATTTTTTTTTTGAGACAGAGTCTCACTCTCTTGCCTGGGGCGAGTGCCGTGGCCGTCAGCCTAGCTCACAGCAACCTCAGACTCCTGGGCTCAAGCAATCCTACTGTCTCAGCCTCCCGAGTAGCTGGGACCACAGGCACGCGCCACCATGCCCGGCTAATTTTTTCTACATATATTTTTAGCTGTCCAATTAATTTCTTTCCATTTTTTGGTAGAGACGGGGTCTCGCTCTTGCTCAGGCTGGTCTTGAACTCCTGAGCTCAGAACGATCCACCCGCCTCGGCCTCCCAGAGTGCTAGGATTACAGGCGTGAGCCACCGCGCCCGGCCCTACTATGCTTTTTATAACTCTGTTAAGCTTACTTTCAAATTAGAATATTGAATTAGTGATATGTTCATTTACTGTTCTTAGACAATCCAAAGTATAAGGAGAAACTTTCATGCTGGGCCTGTCTCTATTGGGTAACCTTTCTGTATTCAGGGGTTCTTTTTATTAGAAGGGAACTTTTCTGGACATGTTTTTAGTCAGTACCCTGGTTCAACCTTGCCTTTCACCATCAGTAGCTGTTGTGTATCATCATCATGATCATCTCCATATATATATTTCTGTTTCTTGAGTTCAACATGTCTCAACTTTAATATGTTAACTTGCCTAACATTTTACCACATCTACGTTTATAAAAGCTCATTTTGAAAATAAAAAGCCCATCCAAGGGAAGCATTTCACGTAACACTTTAAAAGTATAGTTGAGGCCTGGTGTGGTGGCTCATACCTGTATTGCCAACACTTTGGGAGGCTGTTGCAGGAGGATTGTTTGAGGCCAGGAGTTCAAGACCAGCCTGTACAATATAGTGAGACCCTGTCTCTACAAAAACATTTTTAAAAATTAGTTGGGTGTGATGGCATGCACCTGTAGTCCCAGCTACTTGGAAGGCTGAGACAGGAGAATAGCTTGAGTCCAGGAGTTCAAGGCAGCAGTGAGCTATGACCACACCACTGTACTCTAGCCTAGGTGACAGAGCAAGACCCTATCCATAAATAAAATAAAACTGTAGTTGATATATGAGGACACGAGGAGACACTGCCTCATTTTGTTGACTTTTACCTACCACAGGAAATACAGCCAGAGTTCTAGGCCTCCAGTTCCAGACCATGTTGTTTCTGACAGTGGAGAAACAAAGGAATTTGGGTAAGATCTCTCTTGCTAAAGTAATAAACATGAGCCTGATCACAGTGGTTCTTGAGGGCATCTTAAATGTGCTAGAGTTGAGTGAGAGTAATAAGACAAGTCTATTATTCTGAACCAGGTTTCATGTGCGTATAGTTGTTGACAGCCCTGTTATTTTGTCATTATTGCAGGGATGAAAGTAAGCTTCAAGATGAAACCTTCATCACCCAGCAAGTTCCAATATCAGACTTTTCTGGTGAAATGGTGCTACCCAATATTCCAAAAGAATCACAATAGTCTGACATAGTGAGTATCTAATCAAACAATGTACATAACTGTTACCCTTGCCCATTGCAGCTTCTTCCCAAATCGCAGTTCTTTTCTTTGCTAGCTAAGACCCCTCAGGTATCAGTGGAATGAGTAATAAAAAGCACTAGTATGAGATTATGGAAATTTTTATAAAAATATCCATATCAAAGGCTTATTATACTTAATGGAAATGTATATTTGTGCCTCTTTTAATGTGGAAAATCTATAGATTGCCTTTTGAAATAAGCAGCCTAGCCAAAATGTGCACTATCTTTTATGTGAGAGTAAACATAATGACCTTGTAAGTCTTGGCTATGGACATAGGTAGGAAGCTGAGAATCGCTACAATCTAGGGGACAAAGGCATTATAAGGAAGTATGGCACCATTAAAAAAAAAAAGCTATACTTTTCCCTTTTAGAGTTTTTTACTTATAATTTATTATTCATAATCAATTAGCAAAATGTAGAATCTAAGAAATTTCTAATGAGGCCACATCAGAGCAAAAAGAAAATAAAATAGTGAATTTTTTAGCTGCTATAGCATGAATATAACTGATTTTTTTCCATCTAAGAAATAAGAAACTCTGAGCAAGTAGCTGGCCAAGTGAATTGATTCTAACTAGAGCAACACAATTCTGATAAGTCAGGGTTTGTTTTGTTTGAGATAGGGTCTCACTCTGTTGCCTGAGCTCCAGTGCAGTGGTTCATTCATAGGTCGCTACAGCCTCAAACTCCTGGCTTCAAGCGATGCTCCTGCCTTGGCCTTCCAAAATGCTAGGATTACAGGCATGAGCCACTACTCAGCCTGTCAGTATTTTCTTAAAGCGTGATTTCCCTTAAATGTAAGGAAATGTTAAAGAATCTCTGTGATTATATTTAATCCCTCTTGGAATTTAGATAATAATTATCTTTTATACAATCCAGCCTATAGCTGTTGGATTGTATTAAATATCACCACTAGTTGTCAGCTGTGATAAGAGATAAAACAAGGAGTACTGCATTCGAATTATAAATTTCTAATGCCTCACCTTTAGGAAAGTAGAATTAAAAAAAAGACCCACTAGGGTCATAAGTATATTTTATTAAAGTTGCAGTTACCTTAAATGATTGAATATTCTGACATTCTACCAGCCAACGGGTAGTAACAAGCCTAAAGTCTACAGAGCACACAACATTTTCAAGGTTTTTCACCATCTTGAATTCATTGAGCAACTTCCAAAGAGTAGGTTAACCCTACTGAAGTGGCTACTAAGGAAGCAGGAAAATAAAAACAGGATTCAGTTGGGATGGTACAGCAAAAAGAGAGAATCCATTCCATTGAGCACATCGGTTTCTGTTCTGACTTAAAGTTTAGATATATCAAAGAAACAAACAGCATGAGGGGGGTGAGGGATAAAAGTCTACTTATTTGGTACAATGTAGACTGTTCTGGAGATGAGTATACTGAAAGCCCTGACTTCAGCATTATACAGTTAAACGATGTAACAAAAAAATACTTCGTACCCCCTAAATCTACTGGGGAAAAAAAAAAGAAAGAAACAAAAAGCATATAAAGGCAGTTGAACTAATGGTACAAGAAGATTCTGTCAAGGCATTTCTTTTTTGACCACTTTATGTCATGAAAAGCTTCGAAATTTTTAGGCCCCAATCAATTGATCTACATGAAGAGTTCTTTCATTGAAAAGTGTATCACTAATGAGAAATGCAGGCAAGAGCAAAGAACATATAAAATTCAGCAAGTACCATCAGGTTAGACTTGGTTAAGGCAAGAGTTCTCACCCACTTTCATGGTTGGAACACTCCTTGATTTCCGAGCCTAAAAAAACATTTGAAATAATTTTCTAAGAAAACTATTTGCATCTGAATTAATGGCTGGAGCATTAATTAAAGATTGCTGAAGCAAACCCCGAAACTTAACACTTGGCACACATAACAAAAAGTTGATTTATTCATTGCTTACTGAGGTATCATTGAGATGTGATCTTCAGAAGCAGGAACAGTAACAATGATAGAATTAAATGGTGGTCATGAATTACTAGGACAACAAAGTGGCACTGAGCAGAAAAGAAAGAAGCAGTTGTCACAATTTGGGATAAATAGAAATGTATAATATCTTGTGTAGTGTAGGATAAAAGACAGGCTCAGGAAAACTTTGCAGAGGGGTCCCCCCCACTGGCATTTATGTAGGGCTGTGTCTGAGGATCCACCAGAGGAGGGTGAATTATTTCTATCCTGCTTTCCCAAAGAGTTCAGCTTCCAATTATTGGAAGATCTTCTTTACATATAGTAACTTTCCCCTCCTTCAAGTCATCAGAAAAGGGAAGAATTTTTAGAAAACATGTTTAAGCTCTTATTCCAGATAAGCATTTCACAGCCACAATAATTACCTCAAAAATGTTAAGTATGAAGAGCAAGTGAAAAATCTGGTTTCAATGTTACACTAAGAGTCTCCCTATAGCAACTTTGCAGGGACTAATAGTCCTGAGAAAGATTTTAGTTACAATGTATTCCAATCCCAGGGATCCGATCTGAGCAAAGTTGGCAAATGAAGCTGGTAAAAAGTAAAGTGAGATTATTCAGGACGGACTGGGTCTTAAACAAACTTGTTTCTAACGGCCCATGGTAGGCATGGCTACAGAAGGTGAGGAAAGAGTAGCATCATCTTCTTTCCACTGAGAAGTGATGGTCTTTAACTGAGTATAGAAATGGATGCCCTAAGGAGAACAAAGGGAAAAAAAAAGAGTTAGCATATATTTCTGGGGGTTTCATGATTCTTCTTTTTGTTGGCTTTTGAAGGAGGTGCTATGAAGTGCTGCTCACATTCCTATTTGAGGAATGCAACCAAAATCCAGTATATTGTTCATGAGATAATTTATCTAAATGAAACATTTAGCATAATACCTGGCACGTAGTAAACGGTCAAACCTTAGCCATCATTATTATGCCAAAACTAGTACTTTAAGCCAAGAGCACCTCAACGGAAAACTTGAACAATATAATCTGTTAAACTTTCAGGTCATTCTGCAAGAGTTGAATATCATGTGCCCTGAAGTCAACAGATTTGGCTCAAATCCTGCCTCTGCTCCTTACTGACTGCAGTTTAACCTTGAGCCTTATCTATGTGACATAATGCCCACCTCACACCAATGTTTTGAGGAGAAAATGAAATGACATGCAAAAACATCCTAGCAAAATGACTGCTGTTCAACAGTTGTTAGTTTTCCTCTCCTTCCCATGAAGAAGAAAAAGGAATAAAGGAGTGAAATATATGTTAGGCAGTTTCTGATAAATGTCAGTGATAATGAGCTCTATATTGAAGTGGCAAACCCAAAATATCTTACAAAACCAAAGTAAAATGTCTGATATTACACAAATACACTTAGTTTTTTTAAGGCAAGGTTTTGTTCTGTCACCCAGGCTGGAGTGCAGTGGTGCTTATTGAACTGCAGCCTTGAACTCCTGGGCTCCAGTGATCCTCCTGCCTGAGCCACTGCACCAGCCAAATTCACTTCTAAATTACTTATAATATGTGAGCCAAAAAATTCAGCACATTTAAGGCTTTGTGTGTGTGTGTGTGTGTATGTGTGTATACACACACAGTTTATTATTTTGTAAGAGTAGGCTTGAGCAAAAGAGAACCCACTGTGCAGATCTAACACATAAAATTATTAGCAAACTAGAATGATGGTTCTTCAATTTATTTATTTTTTTAAATTTTTGAGACAGGGTCTTGCTATGCCACCCAGGCTGGAGTGTAGTGGCACAAGCATAGCTCACTGTATCCTCAAACTCCTGGTCTCAAGTGCTCCTCCTTCCTCAGCCTGTAGCTGGGACTACAGGTGTGAACCACTGCACCCATGCACCCAATTAATTTTTTTTTCCTTGTAGAGATGGGGCCTCACTAGGTTGCCTAGGCTGGCCTTGAACGCCTGGACTCAAGAGGTCCTCCCACTTTGGCCTCCCAAAGTCCTGAGATTATAGGCGTATGCCACCTCCCCTGGCTAGAACAATGTTTTTAGAAAAACCACTACTGTGATTAAAATACTCTTCCAGAATTATTTGACAAAATCTGGACCATTTTAACATATTAATATATTAAATATATATTAATAATATAATAATAAAATAATATATTAAATATATTAATATATACAAATTTTAGAGATTATTATATACTTTTAACATAAAGATAGAACTAACTTTTGTATTTCATTATGTAAGAATGATACTTTTTTTCTTTGTGTTCTTTCCAGAATGCAAAGTAGCAATTTAATAACCTAAGGACTTAAGACTTCAAACTGCGTATGAGGTCAATCTTTTTTTCATAGGCTTCCTCCAAAAAGCCTCACTTACCAGGGTAACTTATAGTAATAAAATGGGTGAGGGGGGGTTAAATTGAACAATAGTTTTACTGTTTCCCTTAAAAGATATGCTTGTTACCAGTATCAAACTACTCATTTTTGCAAAAGCTGTGACTTAATAAGCCTCCAGATAACCAAAGTGCTGACATTTTTTTTTTCTTGAGGCAGGGTCTTGCTCTGTTGCCCAGGCTGGAATGCAGTGGTGTCATCATAGCTCACAGCAACCTCAAACTCCTGGCCTCAAGCAGTCCTCCTGCCTCAGCCTCCTAGAGCGCTAAGATTATAAGCATGAGCCACTATGCCTGGCTCAAAGTGTTGACTTCTTAACATTTTGGCCATACTATCACATATGCTATGCAATCCTGTTGTTAAATTTTTTATTAGCCTATAAAAGGGGAGACTTGTATAGAAAATAGGTACTTTATCAATGATAGTTGCAAAATGGCCATATTCTTTTAGGCCTACAAAGAATTTCCCCTAGCCTGTTCAACAAATGTTTAGTCAGCCTGCTCTGTGCAAGGTACTGTAGATAAGTAAATAATAATTACAGTGTGATGAGGGCTTCTTAATGTGGCTTCAAGAGCCCTACACGACTTGGCCCCTGCCTATTTCTCTAACCTCATCTCTTCCCATTCTCCTCCTCATTCACTCAATGTGCTCCAGCCCATTTCTGCTATTTGAATGTGCCATGCCTCTTCCTGCTTTGGGTCCTATGGTCCTGCTGACAGAAGTGGCAATAATTCAATCCTCATAACTTTAAGTTTGAGGCATAAAGACGGTGTCCCCCAAAGTCACACAGCTAATAACTGGCTGAGCTGGGATTTGAACCCAGGCAATTCAGTTCCAGATCTGCTTTATTTTTCTTGTTCACTGCTGTATTTGTAGTGCCTAGAATAGTATTTTGTACAAAAAAGGTGCTCAATAAGATTTTTTGTAAACAAATAACTATCATAGGAGAAATATGTGCAGTGGGAGTACATGGGGCACACCATTGAGGAAGCAGGTGTTGGTCAGGTGATTTTCTAGGAGTCCTTTAAACTGAGACATGACAGATGATGAAGAGTTAGTCAGATGAAAGGGGAGAGATGGGGAAGAGGGTCACAGGCAGAGGAAATGGCATATGCAAAGGCTTGGACTTCCACATGCTCTTTCCCCAAAACTTTGTTTTCTTGACTTATTCAGGAAGAAGTGGCTTTGGCAAAATTTTGTTGATCTTTAAATCTTTTTTAGGGGATCTTCTGAGAAGCACTAATAAACATGACCCCATAGAAGCTGCTGGACGGCCCTTCCGTGGAGAATTCTTGTTCCTGAATATGTTCAAGTTTCTTAAAGGGAAAAAAAAATTTTAACCAAAAGTTACCTGTTTGCCATAGAAATTGGTGTCTCCCCTGAAGGAAGATCGAGAGCCAGTGAACGAGAACATTGGCAAAGGCACTGGAATGGGGACATTAACTCCCACCTAAAGCAGAACAAATCCACATCAAATACTAAGTGAAAGATTCAAACAAGGGAACTCTCCATTTAGAAGCACAAAGACAGCAGAGACCAGCTTTAAATACCCACCTTCCACTCCACCCTCTACCTCATGAATTTTTATTCCCGAGGAAGATATAGAGCATTGCCGGAGATTGGAGGGTCAATCTTTAAACAAGTTGCAGTGACTGATCGCTGTTTACTGTTTCCTCTTCGGAAATAGTAAATGACTATAAAAATCTCTGAAAAATTCTCTTCACAAACCTGTCCAACATCCACCAGATGGGAATATTTCCGAGCAGTGGCTCCACTGGTAGTGAAGATGGCAGTTCCATTTCCATATGGGTTGTTATTTACAATCTTGATGGCTTCATCCAATGTTTCTGTCTCCAGAACCACAAGAACTGGACCAAAAATCTCCTCTTTGTAACAGGTCATATTTGGCTGCCGGAGTGATGCATCCAGAAAAGAAGTCAGCTTTTTAGATTTTGAGAGTTTAAGCTTATTTGGTACTTTCACTTAATACGCATAATTTACATGGACAGCTTTCCTGCTAACAGTTTTCATTTTAAACCACCTATAAAAAAGTCCTGTCTTACCGTGTTCCATCTTCCAAGCTACCAATCATATAAACAACTTGAAATTCCTATTAACTATAACTACACTCCTTATCCTTAAGCACTGTTTCTTTAGTTCATGACCCATCACTAGCTTCTTTGTTAATACCTGAACAACTTGTTTCATACAGTTATGTTTCCAGTTACATGAAAATTCATTTTTTATTACTCGAATCTATATTAAATGCACCAGGAGAATTTTTCTGTTTATAGAAATCCCATGCTGTTTTCCGTATCAATCTATTTTCATTCACTTCTTTGCCTCCCAAATAAGTCTATGCATTTATATTTTGATATCAGGTCACACTTACACATTCAAAACATCCTTCACCACTGCAACTAGTGAGCATTTGTTGCTGATAAGTGGATTTTTCCTCTATGGTTCTGTAGCAAGAGATTTCATAATTTCTACTATACTTGCATTCAACTCTGAATTATTCAGGATTATAGTGGGGATATATGAATGTCAAAAAAAAAAAAAGCCTCCTAACCCCAATTTAGTCATGAATGTTAGGTGAGAGACTTTCAGAGTTTTGATAAATAAAAATTGACAGATCAGTTCTTTTTCTTTTGTCACTTTCTGGTGAAGATGCAGCTAAATTTTGGGCACAGAGTAGGTATTCAATAAATATTTAGTGGTTGATATATTGATTAAGACACTATAGTAACTATAAGCTAGGCAGCAAGAGGGAAGAGAAAATTAACATTAAATAAGTAACCAATATAATATAAGATAGGGTTGGCAAACTACAGTCTGTGGGCCACATGTGGTATCCTGCCTGTTTTTGTACAGCCCACAAACTAAAAATGGTTTCTGCATTTTTTAAATGGTTGGAAAAAAATATCAGAAGAATATTTCATGACATGTAAAATTATACAGAATTCAAATTTCAGTATCCATAAATAAAGTTTTATTGGAACACAGCCACACAATGTTTATGGCTGATTTTACTCTATAACGTCAGAATTGAGTAGTTGCAACAGAGACTATATATCCCTGCAAAGTTGAAAATACCTAGCCATTTATAGAAAGTTTATTGACCTCAGGTATAGCGGAAAGAGCTCTGGTTAGGAGTTAGGAGGGAAGACTCATTCAGACTCCAGACAAAATAACTAAGCAATCCTGACAAGAGATGTCTTAGCCATTAAATGCCTTAATTTATGAATTAGAGGGATAAGATTCTACAGCTCTGAGGTTCCTTCGGCTCTCGTATTTGTGAAAAAAGTCAAGGAGTTGTTCACCTTAACATCTGAGATGATGGTTGGTCCAACAAAGTTGCCATTTTCATAGCCTTTGACTTTAATTTTTCGGCCATCAAGAAGGATGGAAGCTCCCTCCTTTGTTCCACTATCAATTAGATGACAGACTCGTTCCTTGGCCTGGGGAGTGATGAGAGGGCCAAGATCAGCTCCAGGCTGGTCTCCTGTAAAACAACATAGAAGTATTTGAGATCTTCATTAACACACTATAACTGCTAACACAGATGAATCCAAATGACAAGTACAGTATAAAAAACAATGGTAAGAATAGACATGATTGCTTCCACTGGCCAAGGCCAATGCTAAAATCAAGAGCTTAGTGCCACAGACGCAAAATCTAAAGGAGCTAGACAGGTGATTTATTACCTGCATTGACTCTCAGGTTTTTGGCACGTTCCACTAGTTCTGGCACCCACTTTTTAGCTTCTCCCACAAAGATTGCTGTGGAAAGAGCCATGCAGCGCTGACCAGCAGCTCCAAACGCTGCCCCAACCAGCTGATTCAGGGTATTTTCCTTATTGGCATCTGGCATGACTACTCCATGGTTCTTGGCTCCCTAAAGAAATACAGAAAGTACATGAGTCTTCCTTGCCAAATACAATTAAGCTAAGAAATTAAGCAAGGAATCTGAGCTTTCAAATGAGAATTTAAGGAAAGGACTAAAGAATTCATCCTTTGTTGCTTTGAGGACAGAGATTTATTATGTTTAATACTGTTGAAGTCTTGGCAACACTGAGCAAGTCTTCAGGTTACTTTTTCTCTAGTTTTTAGCTGATAATCTGATATGTATTTATTTAGATCAAAACCACTACCAAAAACAAAAAATTTTTTTAAAGTCCTAATCACATTCAAACTAATAGGTTAAACATTGCATCCAGAATCCCCCTTTTCCTAAGTTAAACAGGAAAGAATTTGTTGTCTGCTGGGGTTTCCAGTTATATGAAGAGCAACGTAAGCAAAGAAGCTGCCAGTAAGAATGCTAGTAATCAGCTGAAAGGCAAAATAGGAGGTAGACCACCTAATAATTTTAAGAGGTCTCCCAAACTGGCTTACTTCTCGATACAAAGCTTCATAAACTTCTTTTCTATGTAGGATGACGTATGGTTATACAGTTGAGTGCCTGGTTAGATACTATGTCTGGTACTTAATTTTATCCCGTTACGCATAATATTGAACACAGAATATACTCAATAAATATGTAGTGAACTGGGAGGGGCTTAAGTCAAATTGGCCAAAACATTCAGCCATGAAAAATAAGTGAGCATATCATGAACCGTTTGCAAACCTGTGCAGAGATGGCTATTTTTTCTACAGCGTTAACTGATGGAAAAAAAAATGAGAAAGCTGCAACAGGACTTTATATTTATTCTGAAAGAGTTGCTATGTATTTGGCAAGGAACTAGTAAGACGACAACAAAACTTGGAACCAAGTAAACCACACTCACATATCGAACATTATCAAATGGGGATGTGTGGCTCTTTCCAGTGCTTTAAGTAGCCTGGACCCTTAGGGAAGATCATATCTTTTGACATTGGTAGTGAGGATATTACTTAAAAGAAGGAAGGATAAAGGGCTATAAGTATGGTATAAGAGAGGAAATGGCCAGAACCAGAATCTGGCTGTTACTGCTAAAGCCCAAAGAATTTGATAACATTGTTAGGGAGGAATGTACCCTCTGTCACCAAAATTAGTTGGATATGATAAAAGGTAATTAACATGATTTTGAATGAAATTCCTCAAAAGGTTCATGGTTAAAGAGAAAATGTTCAAGATGAAATGGTAATTAAAAACACTAACATTAGAGTGGAATGAGTGGCCACTCTGAAGGGCTGTTTCTAGGTAATTTAAATACATAACTAATATCGGGGAAATAAGGAATAATAATCACCATATTTGCTTGAACTCTCTTGCCATGTCTTGATCCTCTCTCGAAGATGTACTCTCCTGCCTGGTTGGATCCCACAAAGCTGATTGCTTTGATGCTCGGATGATCACAAATAAAATTTACAGCTTTAAGAACAAAATAAATGATCACCACAAAGAAATAAATGGCTTCTCAACATGGCAAATTTCCCCTTTCCCTACTGCTATGGAGTTGAAGTTTTCATACATTTGTTTTTCTATATTTGATTCTCATTGTGAAGTTCTCTTCTTGTTTCTTTTAAATTGCAAATTCTATTTAGCCTCTTCTAGTTTGTTATTTTTCTTATTTACTATTCCCGAATTTCTACTTCTAATCTAACTCTTAAGGCTACAACTACTATTTCCCTCCAAAATAATAAGCCTTTTAATATCGAACCCTTCCATTTTGTGCTTTAAGAATATGGTATTTCCTCAACTATCACTATGTACTGGGACTCGCAGATATTATTGTGCCCTCTTGTGAGAGGTAATATAGCATAGTATTTAAAAGCAAAAATCAGAGGCATCCCAGGTATTCACATCCTGACTTTGAGTTTCTAGCAGTGTGACTTTAGGCAAATTACTTAATTTCACCATGTGTCAATTTTCTCATCTATAAAATGGAAAAATAATAATACCTACCTCAAAGGATGATTGTAAGGGTTAAATAATATATGAAAAGCACTGAGAACAGTGCCTGAAACACAGAAGCACTATTTAAGTATTAGCTATTATTATATGAATTAGAAGGCCTTCAGTATCTTTGAGGGTTATAAATTTTGCATTAAATCTTCGCATGAATTCCCTTAACACTGAAGCAAAAATTTTCTATTTAACGTTTTTTTTTTTTTTTTTTTTTTTGAGACAGGGTCTTGTTCTGTTGCCTGAGCTAGAGTGTAGTGGCATTATAGCTCACTGCAACCTCAAAATGGGCTCAAGCAATCCTCCTGCCAGGGGTGCACTACCACACCCAGCTAACTTTTGTAACTTTTGTATTTTTTGTAGAGATGGCATCTTGTTATGTTGTTCAGGCTGGTCCCAAACTCCTGGCCTCAAGCAATCCTCCTGCCTTGGCCTCCCAAAGTGCTGAGATTACAGGCATGAGTCACCACACCTTGCCTCTCTTTAAACTTATCTGCATTTCTAGTGTCTCAAAATAAACTGTAGGGCAAAAAGCACCGCTACTCTCCAGTTAGTTATCTTAGTACACAGAGATGGCAAAACAGTCAACAATCATTACTTTCAAACACGGAGGTTACTGATTAATAAATACCTTCTCCATAGGTTCCTCATCCTAAAATGTCCAATCACTACTCAACACCTGGATTTTTTGAGGTAGCCATTTAGTAGGCACATGCAAAGGGTTACCTTCATGTTGTCCATGAATGATGTTCAGTGTTCCATCAGGGGCACCAGAATCCTGGAGCAACTTAGCAAGAAGCATAGTTGCTCCAGGGACTCGCTCTGATGGTTTCATTAGGAAGGTATTTCCACACACCATGGCCATGGGAAACATCCAAAGGGGGATCATGGCAGGAAAATTGAATGGAGCAATGCCTGCACACACTCCCAGAGGCAGACGGTAAGAATAAAGGTCCATGTCTTTGGTGATGGATGGCATGGTCTCTCCCAGCATAAGAGATGTCACACTACAGGCATGCTCAACCACCTCTGGAACAGAGAAGAAGTCAGGCCACCAGTTCTCTACACTGTGTACTACTTAGCACTGTCATGCTCTGTTCAGCCCTGAGGACAGGGAGTGGTTCAGGCCCATGGGGGTTAGGGGCCTGACTTGCCCTTCTAAGTGAAGGGGTTGTACAAAATGAGATTCTTTGAATGGGAAAAAGACAGCAATAGGCATATACCCACTGGAAGATCATCTGAGTAAAATAAAGTAAATTGGTCTTATAGATACCTGAGAAGTATTACCATTTTCCACAAGTATTAAAAAGATATCATGGGATGGCAAAATCTACATAAAGAATGAAGCAACCTCCCCATACTGGGATCTTTGCCTCCCATCTTCCTTCCCAAAAGTCCCATGAGGGATGCCCAGCTTACGAAGGCCCCGAAATACATCTCCTTCAGCATCAGCTAGGGTCTTCCCTTGTTCCAGCGTGATTAATTTGGCAATTTCTTTCTAGAGAGAAAATACATAAATAGAAATTAGTGTGAGGATGTTCCTCTTCTTAATTCTCAGGTAGCCAAGGAAGAACAAAACTGAAGGAGAAGCAGTACAAGGGAGAGCAGCTGAAATGGTCTCTAAGGGAGTGACAAGTAACAGTTTGCAAATTATACCCTTCAGATTTCTTACCAAGTTTTCTTTAATAAGTTGTTGATAGCGGAGCATGACCTGCTGACGGCTTAATACTGAAGTGTCTGCCCATGCAGGAAAAGCACGTTTGCAGG